CATCAGTATGAAGGAAGAGCTTATGCTAATACGCAAACACCAGCCTGAGCGTTACCCGTTTATGATCAGATCCCATCTGGGTTGGGACATCTTGTCCTCATCCAATGTCACCCAGCAGTTCTCCAGCTCCAGTGATACTTGAGGATTTATTGCACTCATGAGCTCCACCTCAAAATACAGCGGCTGCTGGAGATGTTTCATGATGGGAGAGTCCTCGAGTCTGTAAAACTCTCTGAAGGAGTCGTCTAAGTGCAGAGAGACAGCATGAAATGACATAATGACAGGAGGCTTTGAACAATATAATCAGCTCAGGACATTGAGGTTTTTCCTCTCACAAATGCTGCATATACACCCGCCAATTATGGCCATGCACGGACCTACTTACTTGGGAGCTGCCAGCTCCCAGAACAAATTCCTGATTTGCTTCTTGCATAAAGCTCAATATCCAAATTTTCTGGGATGTTAGAATAAAAACTAAGATTAGTTAAGGCTTAGCTACTTTAATGAGAGCTGCGCCTAGGGATGAAATTCAAAGTAGAATGACGAAAACTATTTAATACCAACTCCTTACATGCAATAGACAAGGCATTTTAGATTATAGGAGCTCCTGGAGTAAAAACCATTGAAGCTGATGGTCAACATTAAGCAGGAAAAATTAGCCACATGCTGATGACAGCAACCTTTAAAGTCTGAACCATCTAGTTGCCAGAAATTTTAAAATGTTTTCAAAAACTATCAGATCTTCTAGAGATAAAGCAGTAAGGTTTAGTTAGTAAAGGCAGTTAAAGATTAATTTAAAATTGCTTAATGGATTTGAGGATGACTTCCAGTTTAAGGGAGAAGAATCTTAAATCTCTCCAGTGCTGGAGTTGTATTTGTGTTGTGGAAAAATGAAATTATGCCAACTTCATACCCAAAGAAAGTCTCATTGCCACTTGCAGCTGGCCTTTTGCATTTTCAGCATATGGTTCACTCCTGCGAGGTCTGGTGTGGAAGGACACAGCGTGGGTTGTGTTGAGGTCGTAGTAACATGAAACCTTTAGCCTAGAAGACAAGCCATGAGATTTGAATGCAGTCAGAAGTGCAAAGACCAGAGA